TGCTGCATTTGCTATTTGTATCCGTAGAGATGTTCGAGTTATAATAAGTAGTTACATAAATCATAATCGATGTGCTACTAGAGAATTGTCTAAATTTTAGCAATCAATATCATTGAATGAGTATGCAGTAGAGAGCTGCTACTTTGTACTAACAATTTAATTGCAAATTCCATTAAAGGTAGAATAATTTTACAAAATAATGTTATCACTAGTTTAGGTATATATACTTATAATGTACCTACAATTTATTTTATTTATATGTAGATAATTGTTATTTTCATCTCTATATTACTTTAGCAATTAATAAATGAATAATATTTTACGTATATAAGCTTCGTTGATCAACCAAAATCATATTCATAATGATATGAATCGATACATCTCGAGTTAATCCATTTTCAGAAGAATCGATAAATTCTGTGCATCTCTTTTAAAGTCTTAGAGCTGGATTAAATATTTCATGTAAAATGTGATACTGGAGTACACAAAATAATATTTCCGGAACTATTTTTAAAATTGATAATAATTAGAAATAAAGTAATTCATACAATTAGTCGAGGTGACATGTGAATACTTATATTGAAATTAAATAACTAAATATAGTATTCATACAACATTTAATATTATTTTTTACTATTTCAAATAAATAAGTTACTGTACTAATTAAATGATTGACATTATTTGATAATAAACTGTAACTCTAATGTAGATAAAATACTAAGCCGGTATTAAAGCGCACTTTGATGTGTTGCTCTAGGACTATCGTAAGTGCAACCGAACTCCATCGGGTTCGTGTTTCTATTCCCACAGTGATTCCCACGTATTACTTCATTTGCAAAGACACTCGAGCGACAATAGCTAACTTTAACTGTTTAGTAAATATAAAAATTTTACTTGTGAATTCAAAAAATCATCACTAAGTGGTCTAAAACTATTGAAAAAAGAAGATCAAGTAAGTAATGATTATGTTTCTAAATAAATTACTAATATGTTATAAAATACTTAATTTAGATTCAAGTAAAATATATAAAAATATATTAGGCAAAATCAAATACATTGCTTAGATTCTAAGATAAGAGTTAAAGCCTTCGTATTGTGTATTATCTGAAATGACGAAGGTGACAGAAAGCAAATCCAAAATTCGATTTTTAATTATAAATTAAATTTTCATATACCGTTTTATAGAAAAATTATAAAGGGTAAATTCTCCAAAATTATACATTTTTAATAATTCACAAACTATATGTACTTACGTATTGTGAAGCCAATACAATGTCTTTGTGAGTACATGATTTTAATTTAGTTTAAAAATCCATGTCAGCCTGATTTTATAAAGTAAGACTTATTATCAAAATCATAGTTCACACAAATTATAATTAATGTCTATGATAATTGACATCAGTAAAACAAGAAAAATATTAGATTTGAAAGTTAAATGTATTTTTATGCATTTTTCTCCAAGATTAGTAAAATATAGTATTTTTTTGTTTTTCATGAAAACAGATAATATTCTTTAATGTAGAGAAATACTGTTATTCATTTTAATTATATCTTTTATCAAAGATTATTCAACATTTTTAATGAATTACTACATCACGCATGGTCGCAAAAAATAACCCCTTATGGATTTTTCTTTATGTAGGAGCAAGGTCATTAATTTTATTAGAGTGTTATTAATTGTAGTATATAATACGTATTATTACGTAATATAATTATTTTTTGTTATTTATTTCAGAAAACCAGACATGAGGTAGCTGTGCATTGCATGATGACATCGAAGATCAATCTCTGAAGAAATCTAATACATTTTTCTTTATATATGTAGACATTGAAATAAAATTAAAAACCCCATCCCATTCTCCTATAGATATTAAGAGGTAATTGATAATTAAAGTATTCTCATACGAGATTACATCGAGTTTGGGATTACTTTTTATCATGAAGGTAAAGAAGTTGTGGTAACGTTTCAAGAAGGTAATGGTAACGTAAGTATAAATATAAATCGGTAAAGGTATTGTGGTAATGTTTCAAGAAGGTAATGGTAACGTAAGTATAAATAAATAAATCTAAAGTAAGATTCAGAGAATCCCAAAAGCATTTTATTTGTTAGGTAATTAGGAGTCTGTTCCGTGCGTGATCTTACCACGGGCTCGCAGGGAGTGACTTACCACGGTGCTTCCAACTGAACAGTTTAGGCGATGTTTGGTGCGTGATCTTACCATGGGCTCGCAGGGAGATACTTACCATGGTTCTCTCAGCCAACACTAGTTAGGAATCTGTTCAGTGCGTGATCTTACCACGGGCTCGCAGGGAGTGACTTACCACGGTGCTTCCAACTGAACAGTTTAGGCGATGTTTGGTGCGTGATCTTACCATGGGCTCGCAGGGAGATACTTACCATGGTTCTCTCAGCCAACACTAGTTAGGAATCTGTTCAGTGCGTGATCTTACCACGGGCTCGCAGGGAGTGACTTACCACGGTGCTTCCAACTGAACAGTTTAGGCGATGTTTGGTGCGTGATCTTACCATGGGCTCGCAGGGAGATACTTACCATGGTTCTCTCAGCCAACACAAGTTAGGAATCTGTTCAGTGCGTGATCTTACCACGGGCTCGCAGGGAGTGACTTACCACGGTGCTTCCAACTGAACAGTTTAGGCGATGTTTGGTGCGTGATCTTACCATGGGCTCGCAGGGAGATACTTACCATGGTTCTCTCAGCCAACACAAGTTAGGAATCTGTTCAGTGCGTGATCTTACCACGGGCTCGCAGGGAGTGACTTACCACGGTGCTTCCAACTGAACAGTTTAGGCGATGTTTGGTGCGTGATCTTACCATGGGCTCGCAGGGAGATACTTACCATGGTTCTCTCAGCCAACACAAGTTAGGAATCTGTTCAGTGCGTGATCTTACCACGGGCTCGCAGGGAGTGACTTACCACGGTGCTTCCAACTGAACAGTTTAGGCGATGTTTGGTGCGTGATCTTACCATGGGCTCGCAGGGAGATACTTACCATGGTTCTCTCAGCCAACACAAGTTAGGAATCTGTTCAGTGCGTGATCTTACCACGGGCTCGCAGGGAGTGACTTACCACGGTGCTTCCAACTGAACAGTTTAGGAGGCGCTCGGTGCGTGATTTTAGATCGCTAATTATACGATTTTAATGTTAGGGAGAGATTTCTTAACCTTTCAGAGTTTCTTTGGCCAGTTCTTCTCTGTCAAAGGGTCTCTCAATTTACGAACTGGTGGTAGATTTGGTTTCTTATTTATTAGATAATTGAAGTGGAATGAAAAAACGAGGTAACAAATATCCGAGATGGTTATTGGGCATTTCACCCCACAAGGAGTGAGGGCGCAAGCCCGAGCGAACGAAAGTGGGGTAGAATGCCCAATAACCATCTACTCACCTGCCATTCATTCATCGATAAGATTTATTCCGTCATCTTCCTTTAGCTGGGATTGATATATTTTTTTTATTTATTTTATTCGGGTTGGCAACAGCTTATAGCTAATTATTACAATTATTGTATTACAGCAATTGATGAGCCGATAATAGCCATCCTCGATTTAACAAGCTAACATTATTAAGCATATAATTATAATTATTTCACTTCATATATCACAATGCTATTCTGACACCTAACTCACATTTAAAATTACAAAAAAAATGGAATATGAGTGAGAGTAAATTTACATAAATAATAATAAAATAAAATATTGAATATTAAAAATCTGCTGTTATTTTAAGAGTGAATTGAATCTAGTTGTAAAAAAAATTTTGAATACAAGTCCAATGCAGTCTAAGGAACTACTTTATGCAATTTTGTTATAATATAACAAGGCTGCAATCTGACGATGCCTATGGGAATGGGAGAAGATGATGCATATTGTTTATTCAATATAGGCTGTTACAAACACTTGATAAACTCGAAAACTACGCCTTCAGTTCACAAATCGTAATTAATCGCAAAATATATTGGCCTGAGTTTTAATAATAAAATAGAAATACTCTGATTATCTTTACTGTGTTATATCATGAAATCCACTCGACTGCGTACCTATCTTAGGTACGGAAAAATGTGTAACATTATATTTTAAGGGTCTTCCCTCTACCTCTAATAAAAATGTTTAGAGATACGTATCACAAAATAAAAAGTTAGTTAGTTTTGGCTAGCAACTTTTTTGTACATACGAGTATATTGGCCTTTACATTATGTTTAAAACATAACAATAAATTTTACATTGACAGAATAACTGACGTGAACAGTTGTTAAGAATATGATTAATGATTCATAGTACTTACTTAACGCTTTATGAATGTTTTTTTAATGGTATATTATGCCTATTGACAATAGATGTGTTTGTGTTTCTGTTTGTTCCAATGCTTAATTTTAAATTGAGAAAAATTGAAGGTTAGGCTAGTTCATAACGAGAGCTACGAGTTATTTCACTCTACATTTGCAGTAAAACTTAAAATGGTTATTTTTGTAGTTTTGACTTAATGATTTGGATAAACCACAATCAAATATAGATATTGACTATTTCATTCGCTATTAGCAAATTAGCGTGACTTCACATAGATGATAAATTTTCCACAAGAAATTTCCAATCCAAAAGTGAAAACCGCATAATAATCTATTGCATTATTTAGGAAGAATTAATGCTATAACAGTCTTTAATTTCACTTTATCTGCCTGTGATCTGGTGACTAATTTATTTACATATTAATAATATTATAAAATACATTACATTGTACACACAAGAGAAACCGTAGGTTTTCATCTTATTCCATCGTTCATTTTCATCGTGAATTATCAGAACTAATCATTATAATGCTCGTATAGTGGCTACAGTTTCGATTTTAATGACAATACATTTTTTCAAGATAAAGGAAACGATGAATGCCAACATTCTAAACTCCAAGATGGATGGGTTCGCTGATAAGAGTGTCGTTATATTTTTCACCATACTACAAGTAGTCTTTGTTTTGAATTTCGGCTCCACAGGAACCTCACGCAGATGTGCAGTTATAGTTAAAATGTTTTCGTTTATACAAATTATGTGCATAGCCATTTTTTTTTGGTTGTACATCTATATTATTATAGGAGGTTCCTGGGCTTTGTCGATGATCATTGGTTGGTGGCATTTAACTCTGAATGCAGCTATTCTTGCGAGTTTCAGCGATAGAAATTCGTATTATAGAATGTTGAAGGAATTCAGTGATATTGATATGACTTTAGGGTCCAATGTAGGATGTCACGTTAATATTAAAATTATATTATTTACTTTTCTGGTAATGTTATATAGATATGTATTGGATGCACTGCTTTGCTTTACGGGGTCATTTATATGTCCACCAATGGCTGTTTCGTTGTACCTTAAATATAATTACATGTGTTTCTACGCCACTATGACCATTAATTTCTTTATTTTCTACTGTGCATATTGCCGTTTAAAAATATTAAACGAAATAGTGAAAAAGAGCTTTTATAACGTAACTGAATGTTTAAATTTGTACAAGACTATTAATGATACTGTTGACAAGATTATGAAAATATTTTTATATTTGGTATGTATTAAATCACTTGTATAGTTATGGAATAAATTAAATCCTAGCCTTCCTAATGAATATATCAAATTGTGTGTGTGAAAGGTAAACCTGACATTCTCCAACAAATGCGTGAATTTTATATAAAAATGTCATGTATATACCTATGTATGATATTAATATATGTAATGGCAATTGTGTGTAACTGTATGACTGTAGACATCTTTTGTTTTGTAATTTCATTTGCTTTTTTCTGGCATTAAGTTTCCCTTTATTGCACAATTAAAATGTACATTTTTATTACCACATCGCGGTGCGATGCGAAAAAAAATTAACTTGTGTTCAAAAGTTCTCATTTTCGTTAGGAGCGGGTTTTAATATACTCTCTCCATTTTAGTCTTGTTTTACCCAAGTGGAAGAGTTTTTGAATGAGTTTTACATGCCTAAATGCTAGATCTATTTGTAATAATTAATAATTAAATAAATCAGTTACTATTCACACACAAAATCAAATACTCAATATACGTGTATAAGTTAGTTACAACTTGTTGAGATTTGTCAACGCACCGTACGTTTCGTGCCAATATAACGAAATAAATAAAAACTTTTTAGTATTCACCAAATTAGATAAAGTGAGACATTGAATCGTAAATCCTGAAATGTGTGTAGTCAGGATACAAATATATACTAGGGTTTGATAAGTTGTACTTATTACAAATAAATTTAGTTTAACAGCTAAAGAGGAATAACGAGATTTGTTTTTATTTTCAGTACTTTACGGTGTTGATACACAAAATTCCGGACACTTTGATATTGTTCTATCTTATATTAGTCAATATTTATCTAAACAATGAAATGGTAAGATTTATTGGGTCATGCAAACAACAAGGGTAAACTAGAAGCGATGTATGCTTTATTTATATATTTAGAAAATTAATATCTATTTTTCCATCACTTTATCACTGAACAAACAAATTTAACTGGTCGCAAACCCAAATCATTTGCTGTATTGGGAAATAGAAATAAAAATTATATAAACAAAGATTAGTTTATTAGCCAAAGAAGTTTTACATATTGTTTTGTGTCTTGGTGTAATGATTCCATCGCTGTTTTAGGTTTGCAAATTACAAATTCTTTAGCTAATTTATTTGAGATGTAAGCAATGCATGTTGTCTAATATTTATTTATAAAAATACGACGGTTGTAACACAAACTTTGTTTTCCTGTTATAAAATCCCAGTATTATTATTAACTGAAATACCAACTGCTTTATTTTTCCAGGACTTGAGTTTTGTGTTTAAAATTGTGAATGGTACTTCAAATTTCTTGATGTTGATATTACCAACAGTCTCAGCTGGCTTGTTAAAATCAGAAGCTGAGAAGTTACAAGAAAATATACAGAACCGCATACTGAAGGAGAGAGGTTGGTATTGTTTTTATTTTATGTATGAAAAGAGTGGTATAATTGTTAATTTATTATATTCACGGTCAAATCAATCGCATGCTGTTAGAAGATGATGTCAGAAGCCATTAAACCTGAGAGCATGTATGAAAAGTGGATGACGCAAAATATGTAAATGTATGTAAGGAATGTACACTCTTTCCTCTCTGTCTATCCCTCAAGGAATAGTATGGGAAAATATAGATAATGAGCAAATGAGTATTTTGAATTTTTTAATTATAAATAAATATAAACTTTCTGTGATGTTCTTCCAGGCCGTGAGCAAGAGTCTGAGCTACAGCAGTTCGCGGAGTACGTGGCGGCGCGACCGATGCGCTTCAGGTTTCTCAGGTTCGTTGACCTCGACTGGACGATGGCGCTCCAGCTCCTTGACCTGTGCATCTACTACCAAATCATCATAACGCAATTCACGCATTTATTTTAAATTCAATAAACGAGCTAGAGACTCGTTTACTCAATTAATTATATGTATATCTGTTGTAAAATAATGGTCGCGAATGTGTAATAAATACTCGTATATCAACAGTATTTTAATTGTCTGTTATTTAGTGTTTTCAATAGTTACATGCTTTATTTCCTTGTAATTTTAATGGGTTTTAAAGCTTGGACCAAATATAAAAAAATATATGTTCATTTATTAAAAGTGATATGCTTAATAGCCATAAATAATATTAATAAATCGTGACCTGTAAATAGCAATGACAATATAATATTTGTCGTATCACAAGTAAAGACGGTGAATTTTCTTAAATTTCCTCCATTGTATACTAAATTTGAAATGAAAATGATCAGAAATTTATGTTTCCATACCGCAAACATAAAACTTATTTTCGCGGGACCCCGGGTGCTCGGGGACCATAGGATAAGAAACAATGCGTTAGGAGAAATAAGAAATAGGTCAAACTGTGACGCAAATCACTGTAGATGATAATTATCGTTTATATTGAGGTGAACGACAATAATGGCTCATCAATAGATCAATATCTCACCACGAATATCTAATATTCTCGAAGAAGGAAACACGCTTAGGATAATGAGTACTAGATTGCGAGTGTTTACCAGCACAAGGTCGAAAAACAAAGTTATGGCTTGGTTAAACAAAAATCACATCACAGGCACGGAACTATTCCGTGGAACATTTGTAATCTAACAGTGCTACTTATAAACCAGATTTAGCGTTGGAGAAAATTTACGCTGAGACTGTTCTTCGTATTAGTCAAAATTCATAACATTAAACAGAGACTTAACAAAGGTTAACCTAGTGCGAGGTTCTACGGGAGTAATATTTGCTCCTACAAGGTAGTAGATTTGCTTATTCTCTGTGTGATATGAATATGGACTAATGCTAAAATTGCAATTTTAGCGTAAATTTACTGTGGCGCTAAACCTTGTTTATAAGTAGCACTAGCTAGAGAATTCCGTTTAGCCAAGCCATAATGGAACTTGTTTCTTTTATTTTTAGCTTTATTTGGCTATTCGACCTCAACGCGTTGTGACAATGTATAAAAGCCACGACGCGATCTGAGCATTAATTGGTTTAACTAGATGTTTCGTTTTATAAAAACGATTCGCTCCTGGCAGGTTTGGATACCTATAGATAGAGCACTGTATGTCAAACTCTAACCTAATCAAATATGGTTCAACACGGTTCATGAATGCCACAACGCCACGTGAGCGTTTCCATGAGAGCCATAACACGAATTTCGTGCATATTTTACTGTGCTGTGCGCGGTAAAACACAGCACAGTAAAATATGCACGAAATTACCAATCAAATCTTCCCAAGGGGCGAGAGAGGGGGTTAGAGTTAAGATGTAAATAATGCTTTAGACAAAGTTCTTCAGTGGTTTGATAATAATAATTTAAAGCTTAATTCAAATAAAACGAAATGCATAAAATTTGCATTACCTAATGTGAGGCATGTTAGTACACTTATAGTTGTAAATAGTGAAAACGTTTAATTGGTTGAATCGACAAAGTTCCTTGGTATTACACTAGATTTCTGACTGCAATGGGATCCTCATATTGATAACTTGTCAAGTAGACTGAGTTCTACAGCATTTGCTGTTAAAAAAAATAGACACTTAACAAATGTTGAAACGGCAAGATTGGTATATTTTATTTATTTTTATAGTGTAATGACGTATGGTCTATTGTTGTATAGTTCTGTGGCTAGCATTCAAGATATTTTTATTCTACAAAAGAGAGCTGTCCACGCTACATATAATTTACGGTCTAGGAAATCTCTCAGAGAAATAAATATTGCCTCTCAATACATCTATGAAAATATTAAAACATTACGATTCCTTCACAAAAAAAGTAGTGTTCATAATCATAACACAAGAAATAAAAATAAACTTGCCGTTCCAAGCTTCAGACTTCAGAAAACCAGAGAGTCATTTCTGGGTTAATGCATTGCTATGTTCAATAAAGTTCCACAAAATGTAATTTACCTACCCATAAATAAATTTAAAATTAATGTAAAGAACATAATGATGAGTAAAGGCTATTATAAAATTGATGATTATTTTAAGGACCGCAATGCATGGAATTAGTAGCCTTAGCTTTGTTCTATAACGACTAATTATATGTACAAACTATGACTTTAAAACTTTTATTTATTATTGTGATAATACTTATTATTTTGGTAGTGACATGATTTTGTAAATGTAATGACATTAAGTAATGACTTATGTTAAAGAGCTGGTAAGTTTCTTTCGCTTGTTCTTCTTGTCAGCTAAAAGACATCCTGAACAAGTGGTAGGGGAAAAACAAAATTTTTGGACTATTCAAAAGTGCTAGTAATAAGCTTACCTGAATAAAGATTTTTTCATTTCATTTCTTAGGAAAGAAGATTTCATATTTCAGATTTTTTTCGTTTTTTTTTTCAATAATTCTATCTGTACTCATTAATAGGAAAGAATAATTGCTTGTTTGTTTGCATTGGATAGGCTCCGAAACGATTGGACCAAAGACTTCATTTACGGGAAGCTTTGCATTGGATATATGTTAAAATTTATTCAGGCGATGTCACGCTGAAAGCTAGTTTGATAGAAATTGATTCACAATTCAAGAAAAAATCTATAAATATAGCTACTCTCATAAAAAATATACATACTCCTTGACCATAGAAAATTCTCCTTTCGGATTTTGAATGAATTCAAAATACGCATTCTTTTGTGTTTTAGCTGAAATACAATTCTTATCATTATAAATATATAGGTGATATCTGCTGAAAATCGTTTTTTGTTTTCTTAAAAAGGAAAACTACTGATTCGATTTCGATAAAATTTAAATGGGACCTGGATCCATGAAGCTGTCGAATAAAAGAAGAAATTTCATAGTCTGTCGGAATATATAAATACGGGTTTCGCCGAAACCGGTCTACAGGAGAAAAAAACGGGGAAGCGATTGCTGTTTCCCTCGACGTCTTGAAGGCCTTTGAGAGGGTCTGGCACGCTAGCCTTATAAGCAAGCTTCCATCGTACGGCTTATCCCTGGGCCAGATCAGCTGGATCAATGACATCTTGAGAGAATGTTCGTTCCGAGTCGTTATCAATGGCCGTTCATCACATCGTTCGTGAGAATACCTGATACCTGCCTAACGCCCGGGCTAGTAAAGGCCAAATACAGTCTGAAAGAGAGGCCATGATAGTGCGTATGAGTCTCACACTTCAGGCTGTCTTCGAATGGGGCGATGCCAATCTTGTGAGATTCAACGCCACCAAAACACAAGCGTGTCTGTTTACCGCCAAAAGGAGCCCGTTCACCTTGGCTCCTACGCTCCGAAATGTCTCCTTGGAATACACCGACCACCTTCAGTTATTGGGAGTAGAGATATCCTCTTACCTTAACTTTGGGCGGTTTATTGAGTCCAAAGTTATAACAGCAGCTAGGAAGCTAGGTACCCTAGCGAAGGTCCGGCGGTACTTCACACCAGAACAGCTTTTGATGTTGTACAAAGCGCAGGTTCAGTCGTGTGTGGAGTACTGCTGCCACATTTGGGCTGGTGCCGCAAAATGCCACCTTTCGGCATTGAATTCAATGGAGAGGCGTGCAAGAAGGCTTATTGGCGACCCGAAATTGGTTGAAACCTGCCTTCAGCACAGACGCAGAATTGCTAGCCTCTCGGTATTCTACAGGATACATTTTGGAGGGTGTGCACTGGAATTGTACGACCTAATTATCCCCTCCCCGTTCTACCACCGAACGTCTCGGCGCACGGCCGGTATCCATCCTTTCGTCGTCAACATCCCTCCGGTAAGAACGGCGCGATTTGATTCATCATACATAATACGTACCCCAAGGACTGGAATAAACTGCCAGCGTCTGTATTTCCGATCGATTATAATGTGAATGTCTTCAAATCAAGAGTGAATAGGCTGTTACTAGGTTAATGCGCTATACCACCCAAGGCTTCATCACCACTTACCATCAGGTGAAATCGTAGTCGAGCGTTAAACCTATAAAGTATAAAAAAAAAAGAAACTTACGTCGCCGTCGAACATAAAACCTCCTTCTTTTCGATTTTGAATTAATAATAAATAACATTTGCAATATATACACTATTTTTAAGCGACTTCAAAAAAAGGAGGAGGTTCTCAATTTGACTGTATTTTTTTCTGTTTGTTACTTCATAACTTTTACAGGGTAGACCGATTTTGATGATTCTTTTTTTTATTTGAAAGTTAGTACTTGTCGTGTGGTCCCCCCGATTTGGTAATGGCATCTATGAAAAAACCATATAAGTTTTAAATTTGCATTAAGTACGCGTGATTTTTGTTACCTCAATTTTCAGCAAAGTATTTGTCAGACTTAGAAGGTTCGAAACTTCTAAACTGTGAGATTGTACCATCTCGTTGTGTCCATCTCGTCTTTCTAATTGTGTCATTAAGGAAGTTGGATTTTTAAACACTATTAAATATTTACGAATATCCGGTATTAAGGACTGTAATGAGTAATATTTTTTATTTAATGTAATTTTTATCTTTTTTTTATTTATAGATGAGTAATAATTACATATCAATCGTATCACTTAGTGCAGCAAAAACCAGAAAGGTTTGTCCGTGCACTACTTTACCAACATATTTATATTAACAACTATAAAACCACAGTTTGCTTATGGATTAGTTAGATTATTGGGTAAAAAAATTACTGTTTACACAATTAGGAAGTTCAATTAACCACTTAAAAATTCTAGTTATTAACCTATGTAAGAAAAGGAAACAATCGGGTAACTGTAAAATACTTCGGATTAGCGTACGACCGAACGGGCAACTCAACGCTGCCGCTATACAGGGGGCCAATTCTACTAATTTACAACGATCGATCATCAATAGCGTTTCTGTAACGGTTACGTTTCGATTTTTGCTGTAAATTTGCATTCCGCTAACGTAAATTATCAAACGAACGTTTACTAAACTGA